ATATTTCAGCTTTTATAGTGTAAAAGATTAATAACAAATGTTTGTGTCCTTGACTTTTTACAGTTGTTGAGCAACGTCATATCAAATTTTATAATTTCCTACAATATATTTATAGGTATGATGATCATCATCTGTACGTATAAATAAAGTATACTTACTGAATCTGATATGGATTTGCGATATCTGATATTTGATATCTTCTCAAGTCACAAAATGTACTGGCGATGTGATGTGACATTGTGTATACCATAATCCAATTGAACCACTCAAGCAATCAGAGGCACTTAAACCGAAGGTCGCTTGTTACGATAAGTTTTGCAACGTCAATAAATTTGACACATTCAATTTTTGTCTTTTTTTAACAACAAACTATAAACATCATGTCCTTTAGCGATCAGTTTTTGAGCAATTATTTTTTTATCCTTTTGAAACAATATATAATATCATAAACATGACAAGTAAATCCATAGGATGCCTTCTGTATGACCTGTTATAGTTTTGCACCTTTCTTTGAAAAGATAACTATAGTTCATATTTTTAGGATTAATGCACTAATTATTAAATTTAAAATTAAATTAATTTCCAAAAAGTTGACAGATCAATTTATTGTTCAATTAAATTAGATATTATGTGATTAGAGTTAGAGTTTATAGCTTCAAAAAATGGTAAATCAATGACATAAACCTATTTTTATAATTAATACGCTACATGAAACTTTGTCGGTTGAACTTCTCCGCCATTTCTTAACCGATTTTATCCATTGACGTCTCATTGGAAAGAGCGTGTCGCGTAGATTTGCAAACTGGCCTTACAATTTGTTTAAAGTCCCTTGGGCTCTGCCCCAGTGGCTTTGAATGTTTCCATGTTATCCTTATGAAGAACATAATTGTTTAAATAACATAGTTGTTGAAATGAATTTTTTAAAGAGGAAAGTTTGTTTAAACGGTTAGTTTCTGTTATCTCTTGTTTACTTCTGTTTTTGGTGTTTCAAACACTCAATGAGTTAGCAACTGAGATAGTGCAAGTCATGGATTTTAACAGAGTTGGTGTACAATTGTGGACAAGTTTTAGTGACCTTCGAGTAGAGTACCATAATGGACTGAGTAATGGAAGGAGGAAGGCTATGCACTATCTGTCAGTCTTTTGTTTATCTTATCTCAAGGTCATCTCAAAATACTGCAATTGTCAAAACTCCATAGCTGCACAATCACTGTTGATTATTTCGTACATGTTTTTTGTACATTTAGACTTTAAAGTTTTCTCTTGCTTGTTTGGTGCATTTGGTTGTGTCTATTAATTCCAAAAACTACCTCTCTGTGGACAACCAATTTTAATTTTTATAAAGTATTGTAAGTGTAATTTAAGAAAATGATCAAATAACAAATTTGGGATAGAAAAGTATGGAAGCAGAAAAACGTTTATACATTTTTAATCCTACCACCTGCGTCAGGCTAACGAATAGTAATACAATACCTATTATAAAATCTGATATTACACATTTAACAATCACTGAGGTATAAATTTACCAGCTACAGTAAAAAAATAATTAACTTTATTGCCTTTTAAGTTTAATTTAATGACAAGTCGTTTTGGTTTAAAAAAAACTTAAAAATTGACGTTAAAAATTATTAAAATGTAAATGAAAACCTCCACTACTTTCTGTGAACGACTAGGTTGTTAAAAATTCCGTTGATTTCCAAAGACTCCAACACTTTTGGAAGGAACTTTGCACAATATTCATCATTGTAATATTTTCCAAAGAATTTGTCAACTTCAGATTCCTTGTCCTCAGAGAAGAAAAAAGAAAAGTCCAACGGATCTGGGTGTACAAGACCAGGCAGCCAAGAACTAGAGATATACAGAGCCAATGGACTAAACCTTCGCACCTCTGCCATCATCTGGTCATATGTTAGTCTTTCATCACAGTTGAATAGCTTTAGATTTTCGTTAAAACTGTTAAGATATATTCTGTACAAATCGCCCAATCTGTTTCTCTTCACATCAAAATTTGCACTAGACCAAAGGAATGTCGTCAAATCAGATATAGGCGACCCATATGATGTCCCCTGGAAGTCAATGATCTTGATGTCGCACACCGTGTCGTTCTTGTCGTACCTAAACATCATGTTGGGTATCCATGGATCTCCTTGTTTGATCGTCTTAATTAATTCACCACTTGGTATGTGTGTTTCAACCAGAATATCCCATAGATGCGGTGTAATGTCTTTTACTGTGTCAAGAAATTCCTTCATTGTAACCAGTTTCTCCATTTCTCTGATAAACCTATTCATCCCACCATTAATTAGAGATATAAACAGCTCTCGGACTTTTGAATCATTCGAGAACCTTATTTCTTTTTTAATAGGCTGCAATATTTCAGGATGCTTTTTGAAAACCGCAACAGACACCGAGTGAAATGAAGCCGCTGCAAGCATATAGAGGCGGCAGTGGTCAAAGTCTAACAGCTTTGTTCTATCAGCCATAACAAATCCTTTTTCTTTCAAGTCTTCAAGTATTGTCACAGTTGATTTTGGAGAAAAGAAGCTTTTGGCAGCAAAATTAACACCACAGTACTCTTTTGCTTTTGGTATAAAGTTATAGTAGAATGAAGGTTCCAACAGATTGAATTCTGTTGCCAATTCTTTCATCGGCCCTTCAGTAAGTTCATTTTTGACAATGAATCTTGAAGTCTTCACCACAGAATCATTTCCGTCAACTTTCCACTCCAGCTCAACTCTGATGATGAAGCTCCCGTAGTTGTTGCCAGGAGGAACAGCTGATGAAGTGGTCAAGTTTGTTACCACAATGTTGTTGTTGTTTTCTTCTTTACGGAGACTCTGTTCAAAAAATACTTTTGTCACCCATTCGGGAAGTGACGAATCCATCTGTACCTAAAAAGGAATTTCAAGGTTTTAACTGTAATGCTTTAGGTAGGCTATATTTATAAATAAAATAAATAACTTCTTGATCAGCATTGTACGTGTTATTAAATAAAGATATGTCTTATAACACTTACAACATATATTTACGCTTATACTGTTACTCACAAGACGGTAAATATACAAAAGTCGATTTCGATTGGACACTCCAATCATCATCAGACCCAATAGGCGAATGTAGACTAACCAACACAAGTAGACTTTTCATCCCATTGTAAATTGTTAAGCTTGTTTTTCGAATCTTTGAATGTCTAGTTCATGAACGGTGACACTGGGCGCTAGTGTCAACAAAATTTTGGTTCTAGTATTTTAGGGTTAATTTCTTGATATGTACTTTACTGTTTGGTTATATAACTACCGGACGGGTTACTGTTTATGATTAGATTTTATTATTTGGCTAAACAAGGTTATAAATTACCGAAATAACAAGAAACAAATTGTAAACAAAACACGACCTCTACAGTACACCGTACAGAACTAACAATAAATTGTTTTCAGCTGTTTCATAAGGATGAGAAATCTACTAAGAGAGATTGTTTTATCTATGACAGTAGTGTAGTATTAATACTCAATGGGGATTTTCATCTAAAGCTGGGTTTTTCTAGGCGCGGAAGTGGAGCGCAAAGAGAGGAACGCAGAGAGCGGACTCCCCTTGTCTTAGGTAATTTAATGTTACTGTTTGCCTTGAATCTTTAGATAAATTTTGTCAATGTTGGTACAAAGTAAAAGAGTCTTAGTCTAGTCACATCATTTTGTGAATAACATTGAGACACAACATTTATGTTGAGATCATGTTGACATCAATATTTATTAAATATATTTAAAAATACATTAATCCTGTCGATCGGTGGAATAATTACATTTTCATAGTCAATCTATCATGACACCTTATTATTTATTTAATTGTATTATTTATAGTTTTCCCAGACCTTCAAAACATTTGTTTAATAGAAAGTATTTATTTTAAAAATGTAGACAATTCTGCACAATCTTAGCTAAAAGATGGACAAAAGACATTTCATATTGAGAGTTGAGAACAATATTTTGTTTAATAGATTGAAATTTTCTTTGAAATTGTATCGGCTTTTTTAATAAGTTGACAGTCTAACTCATAAAATTGGCTTCTGTTTAAATGAATTACACTTTTGGTTATATTTTGTAAATGCTACATATTTTTTTTAAAGCTGATGGGAACCAAAGAATGAATCAAGAATCATGCTTATTATTTGTGTAATATATGAGATATTTAAAAATGCCTACTAATTTACCTTTGTGTCAATGTATCAACAGCCCAAGTGTTAGTTGTTGTCACTGAGCTGACTCAATATGACATCACTTGAGACCACTTTTGGCTAACCTTCAAACACAATCATTAGTGTGGGGAGTGGTTCTACCAAGCAGTTTACCACTTCCATTCAACAGAGCCAAGTGTGTTTCCTGGTTGGATACCATAATAAGTTGGGATGTAAAACTAAAATATCTCTTCTGCTGTCACACTTGTCACTCAAGGTTTAAGTCGTAATATGAATTTACTATTAAGGAATTTCATATGATTTACCTGTCATTGTTATTATTCTAGGTGGTACCTTGACTTGGGTAAATATTAGAAGGGTCTAAATTGTATTTATGGTAGTAAAATTTTTCCTGGAAAGAAAATTTATCTGTGCTATCAAATCAAAACTGAGACTTAAATTTAATTTAAGATTTTTTTTCATAAACCCAATGGGGTTTGTTTTGTTATTATAGACACAAAGTTGCTTAAGTATTACCATTTTTAAAAAGAAAATAAGTTTAAAATTAGATATTCTGTCAGAAATAAAAGGCTGTAAAATGTTCAAATCACACTGATACTTGGGATACTTGTACTTATATATTTGTGTATAATGCACATTTGCACACACTACACACAATGGTTGAGTGTAGAATGAACTGACAAATATTTCGTAGTATGCTGAGAAAGTATTCACTGGTATGTAGCAATTAATTGAGATTAAAGTTAAAGGTATTAATATGCAGGCTTTCAGTTGAATACAAGTGTGATTGAGTAAATAAAAACGGTTTCTTTATTCATTTTGTTTATTTGCAACTCTCACACAACACCAATTTGCTTGACAAATCTACAAACAAACGAGATGATATAACTAAACTTTTAAATTTAAACAGCCTGCAGATATTCTTCTATCAAGCACAGTAACTTGAAATTACCTCATCAAAGAGCATTACTAAAAGATTCTTTGAATTCAAAGAAATTGATTTCTATATTTCAGCTGGTAGTTTGTTACATATTTTGGCACCATAACTACTGTATAATAATAATAATTACTAGCAGCCAGCGTCACTTCAAAATCCGTAATATATTTGATATAATATAGTTGATAAGAGTGAAAACAATTATTTCTCATCATATCCCTATTATTTCCATTGTGTGCACTATTAATTTCATTGTGTGCACGATCTCTTCGAGAAATATCAGTAAAATTACAAAGACTAAAGAAACACAGGCTACTATATGAAAACACAAAATATCTTACTTACATTTTAAACAAATGACATTACAATATTTTACTTAAATTATAAATAAAACATGCTTTGAAAACATAAAATCCTATCATAACACAAAATCAAACGTACCGGTAAGTCATTTTCTTCTTTAAATGTTATACAAATAGCGTTACAATATTTTACTTGAATTCACTGAAACATCAACTACAGATAACCCCATTTTCATATGGATGTAAACAAAATTGTATTATGGCCATCTATTTTGATATAAACAAATGTAAACTTGAAGCAGTTCAGATGATTGAGAACAGAATTCAGCACAAACTCTGAAATGTTAAAAGCCTGTGGGACGAAGGGCTTTCACAAGATATCATCAAAACCCGCAAAAGACACATCTAGAGAATAAGAGCTTTAATTTGATACCCAATATGCATATAGAAATACAGGGTTAGTAAAAAGTCTGGAGACACCCTGTTAATTTTTTAACGGCCCATACTAGAAAAACTAAACTCAGCACACCTTTATGGCATGTTATGAAGTACTTTTTGGGCATAACCGCCACTTGGTGTGCTACATCAAAACTCAAAACTTTCAAATGGTAAGACCCATCGAGTGACCCCTCATTTTGAAGGTCCTGGTAATATAAAACCAACAACGCAAACTAGAGGTCTCTATCTCAATCTAGTCAAAAATGGCAGCGGATTATAGGCCGTTAAAAAATTAACAGGGGGTCTCCAGACTTTTTACTAACCCTGTATATTAAGAGGTCGATTTGCTGCACACAAAAATCCAACAAATTCTTTTAATAATATAGATACTTTATTGTCTGTATCTACATGATAATTAATTAATTTTTACCTTATGTATAATATTAAAGTCGTTATAATTTATTTTTTTAATTTTGACACATTTTTCATTGAAGTCTTCAATAGAATAGATTGGATCTTCAGTAAGGATTATAAGTATTGTAAGTGCAATTTAAAAAAAATAATCAAATGGCAAATTTAGAATTTAAAAAATATTGGAAGCAGACCGTTTATAAATTTTTAATCCTACCTGTGTCAGGCTAACAAATAGTAATACGTATTTAAACAAATCTAATATTAAACATTTAACGGACACTGAGGTATAAATCTACCAGCTACAGTAAAAAAATAATTACTTTTATTGCCATTTATTTTAATTTGATGAAAGTCATTTTGGTTTTCGAAAAAAAACTTTTCATTTTGAAATTGATGTTAAAAATGATTAAAATGTAGATGAAAACCTCCACTACTTTCTGTGAACGACCAGGTAGTTAAAAATTCCATTGATTTCCAAAGACTCCAACACTTTCGGAAGAAACATTGCACAATATTCATCATTGTAATATTTAGCAAAAACATTCTCAACTTTAGATTCCTGGTCTTCAGAGGAGAAAAAAGAAAAATCCATCGGATCTGGGTGTACAAGACCAGGCAGCCAAGAACTAGAGATATACAGAGCCAATGGACTAAACCTTCGCACCTCTGCCATCATCTGGTCATATGTTAGTCTTTCATCACAGTCGAATTGCTTTAGATTTTCGTTAAAACTGTCAAGATATATTCTGTACAAATCGTCCAATCTGTTTCTCTTCACATCAAAATTTGCACTAGACCAAAGGAACGTCGTCAAATCAGATATAGGTGACCCATATGAAGTCCCCTGGAAGTCAATGATCTTGATGTCGCACACTGTGTCGTTCTTGTACCTAAACATCATGTTGGTTATCCATGGATCTCCTTGTTTGATCGTCTTAATTACTTCTCCACTTGGTTTGTGTGTTTCAACCAGAATATCCCATAGATGCGGTGTAATGTCTTTTACTGTGTCGAGAAATTCCTTCATTGTAACCAGTTTCTCCATTTCTCTGATTAACCTATTCATCCCACCATTAATTAGAGATATAAACAGCTCTCGGATATTTGAATCATTCGAGAACATTATTTCTTTTTTAATAGGCTGCAATAATTCAGGATGCTTTTTGAAAACCGCAACAGACACCGAGTGAAATGAAGCCGCTGCAAGCATATAGAGGCGGCAGTGGTCAAAGTCTAACAGCTTTGTTCTATCAGCCATAACAAATCCTTTTTCTTTCAAGTCTTCAAGTATTGTCACAGTTGATTTTGGAGAAAAGAAGCTTTTGGCAGCAAAATTAACATCACAGAACTCTTTTGCTTTTGGTATAAAGTTATAGTAGAATGAAGGTTCCAACAGATTAAGTTCTGTTACTAATTCTTTCATCGGCCCTTCAGTAAGTTCATTTTTGACAATGAATCTTGAAGTATTCACCACAGAATCATCTTGGCCCACTCTCCACTCCAGCTCAACTCTGATGATGAAGCTCCCGTAGTTGTTGCCAGGAGGAACAGCTGATGAAGTGGTCAAGTTTGTTACCACAATGTTGTTGTTGTCTTCTTCTTTACGGAGACTCTGTTGAAAAAATTCTTTTGTCACCCATTCGGGAAGTGACGACTCCATCTATACCTAAAAAGGAATGTGAAGGTTTTAACTGTTAAGCTTTAGGTAGGCTACATATTTATAAATAAAATACTCCTAGTACCACCAGTAGTGTAGTAGTAATATCCAATGGGGATTTTCATCTAAAGAGCATAAGCAATAGAAAAGTGGCAGTGCCTTTATCAAACCAAGTTTGAATCAAATATGGATGTGGGAGGAGTGAGATGTTTGTACTTGACGCCATCTGAGTTTTTAGTCATGGTCATCTAAGTATGAAGCTAAGGATCACAAATTTGAGAAATCTTTTTTTCAAAAAGCCAAATGAAAGGCATAGATGAGAAATTTCTCCAAAAAATATCAGTTTTTCAATAAACTCTTTCCTAAGGGCACAAACATCATTTTAGAGCGGGTTCCCCCATGTAAAAGGGCCTGTTTACCATGTAAACATGGTCCTACAAAAAATAACCTCCTGGCATTATTTAAGTGTTTATCGAGTTGAAATAAACTGTAAAATATTCACAAAGATCCAAACTATGTACCGGCTCCGGCTGAACTGAAACTTTGTAACTGTTCCTTTCAGTATTTACAAAATCATTTTGGAAATCGATAGATAAGTATTTTTTACATGCGATTTTAACTTCTAAATAAGTAATAGTTAAAACTATTTTTGTTCCACCCACTAAGCTCTACTATGTTAAGAGCACATCAAGCACACAATCATTGGAAACAAATTAGTTTTAGAATGTTGAGAGCTTGTAGTGTAGAGGTATGTTCAGGAAAATTAACATGTTTAGCCGCCATCTTGAATTGACCGGGTAGAACCCTCCTTTAAAGGGTTTTAATCAATCACATTAAAAAAACCGAAGATAAATCATCAGTTACATTTTTTGCCGTTTTAATTGTTAGGTTTACTTTTTCCTTTGTTAAGCTATGGATAAAACATACTCCCATCCTAATGGATGAGCTGAAGAAAATTGTATCATTAGTTCTGTCCAGTTCACTGTAGATGCCGTGTTTTGTTTAAATAAAACAATATAATCATAAACAATAACTCATCCTCTAATTATGTAACCAAACAGTAGGCCTAGAGCACAAACCATGAAATGAACTCTAAAATAATAGAAAACAAATTTTGTCGTCACTAGCCACCAGTGTCACTGGACATGAACTAGACACAAAAACGAGCTTCAAAATTTACAATGGCATGTCTACTTGTGTTGGTTAATCTATGGTTAACTTCTGATCCTCATTGTAAATGTTTGTATTGCAATAACAATAAGGTTATAATAGTTAATTCAAATAACAAAGGTGGTTCAAATGAAAAATAAGGCCTATCTGCGGCTTTGATTCTGACACACAGTTTATAGGAAATTCAAAAGAGATGTTCATTAAATAAAATAAACAATAAGTTCAATTTCCTGTAATCTGATGTGTGTAACAGTGTTAAGTGTATATTCAAAAACACATTATTCTCTTCTATATTCCCACCCTGTTGCAGCTAGTTTAATTAAAGCTGAATAATCAAGTTTAGTTTTGAAACTGAAAAATGGCTAAGCATCTCTTGTTGACCGTATTGGTTTTTGTTTACTTGGCATACCATCAATCAGTGCAGAAAGTTATAGGTGCAGGTAATTTTCGCTTATCGAGAAAAAAAAGGCAAGCAAGAGACGTGTAACCAAACCAAATTTTAACAGGTTGTCTGAACTGGAATCCGGATATTATACGTTAAATTTGATGGTTAAAAATTCCTTTAACTGTACCCTACCTTAATTGTGGAATAATTGCCAGTAGTATATGGCTGAACCTCCAATCAACACCGTAAAATTGGTTCTCTTGATTTCTTATGAAATCGTGATTGCGGGAGATTATCACGATATCGCTGAGACTGCAAAATATGTCCACAGGTGTTGCCGCCACCGCGAGAGAAAATCATCGGTCTTCACTTTAAATTATTTTATATTATCGCGGTTCTAAAAAATCTGTTTGCGGGCCTATGTGGCCCATGGGTCATGGTCATGGGTTGGAGATCCCTGATCTTAAACGTCACTTTCTTTCATCTTTAGATAAATCTTGTCAATGTTGGTATAATGTAAGAGTCTTAGTAAACAGTCATATTCCAGTCACATCATTTTGTGAATAACTGAGACACAAAATTTATGTTGAGTTGAGATCATGTTGACATTAATATTTATTAAATGTCTTTACAAATACATAAATCCTGTCAATCAGTGGAATAATTACATTTTCATAGTCATAACCCTTTATGCCACCTTACTATTTATTTAATTTTATTATTTAGTATTTCCATACCTTCTTTTTTAAATAGAAAATATTTATTTTAAAAATGTAGACAATTCACTGCACAATCTTAGCTAAAAGATGGACAAAAGACATTTTATATTTAGAGTTGAGAACAATATTTGGTTTAATAGATTGAAATTTACTTTGAAATTTCATTGGCTTTTTAAATAAGTTGACAGTCTAATCCACAAGGTTGGCTTCTGCTTATATGAATTACACTTTTGGATATATTTTGCAAAAATGCTACATATTTTTCTTAAGTTAATGGGAACCAAAGAATAAATCAAGAATCATACTTTACTATTTGTGTACTATATGAGATATTTAAAAATACTAATTTACCTCTGTGTCAATGTACCAAAAGCCCAAGGTGTTAGTTGTTGTCACTGCACTGACTCAAGGCAATATGACATCACTTGAGACCACTTTTGGCTAACCTTCAAACACAATCTTGAGTGTGGGGTGGGGAGTGGTTCCACCAAGCAGTTTACCACTTCCATTCAACAGAGCCAAGTGCGTTTCCTGGTTGGATTCTATAATAAGTTGGGATGTAAAACTAAAATATCTCTTCTGCTGTCACACTCAAGAATTAAGTCGTAAGCAATTTCATATGATTAAACATCTGTCATTGTTATTAGTCTATGTGGTACCATAGACTAAGCAACACTAAGGGAGTATGTTTTATCTATGGTGGTACCTTATTGACATCGTTAAATTAGAAGGGTCTAAATTGTATTTATGGTAGTAACAAGTATTGCTGGAAAGATAATTTATGTGTGCTATCAAATTACCCAAGACTTAAATTTAATTTAGGAATTCTTTGAAATCATAAACAAAAAGGGGTTTGTTTTGTTATTATACATACAAAATTGCTTAGTTATTACAATTTTTTAAAAAGCAAATAAATTTTAAATTAAATTTTCTGTCAGAAATGAAAAGGCTGTAAAATGTTCAAATCACACTGATACTGAAAAACACACACCGGTTGAGTGTAGAATGAACTGAAAAATATTTTGTAGTATGCTGAGAAAGTATTCACTATCATGTAGCAATTAATTGAGATTAAAGTTAAAGCATAGATAAAACATACTCCCTTAGTAGATTTCTCATCCTTATGGAACAGCTGAATACAATTTTATTGTTAGTTCATGTACGGTTTATGTAGAGGTCGTGTTTTGTTTACAATTTGTTTCCCGTTATTACAGCCATTTAAAACCTCGTTTAACCAAATAATACGATCTAATCATAAACAATAACTTGTCCCCTAGTTATATAACCAAACAGTAAAGCACAAATCAAGAAATTAACCCTAAAATAATGGAAACAAAGTTTCATCGACACTAGCGCCTTTGTGTCACGTACATGAACTAGACACGAAAAACGTGCTTCAAAATTTACAATGGGATGAGAAGTCTACTTGTGTTGGTTAGTCTATGGTTAAAGGTATTAATATGCAGGCTTTCAGTTGAATACAAGAAAGGATTGTGTAAACAAGAATGGTTTATTTATCAATTTTGTTTATTTATAACTCTCACACAACATCAATTTGCTTGACAAATTATTTGTTCTGTATCTACAAACGAACAAGTTGATAGGTATAGCTGATTTGAGTTTAAGATTTGTTCTGAAATATTCAAAGAACAAATTTTTCTGTTTTATTACATAGACAATTTGGCTTCCTAAAATTTTATGAGAATGCTGAGATAACCACATTCATAAAATAACCCATAAACAATTAAACTGCTTCTATCAGTTGAGTACTTAGATAACTTACTGTGTATATCATATCATCTAATAATTGTGCCTACCTCATCCATAATATTGCAATATGTGTTACTTTTAATCTTTGATATTGTGATGACTGTCATACTGTCAAGTTTTCATTCACCTTGATTATTATTTTGAGGTGGAGTCAGTCGTCTATTCGTCAATTTTTCAATGTAGGAATACTTACCATTACCTAAATTATTATTATCATTATCATCATCTTTTTGAGAGGGGGATGCCACCTATATGTGGTTTTTTAACCCAAATATGAGTGAGGGATGAGTGTGGTTAGTGTGAGATGATCTGTGTATAGCTTACTGCATCAGCTGTTTCATAGTCAGGATCATTTTATGAAATGATCAAGGGCAGCTGGGTCCAGTTTCGAACCATCAAAATGTTACTTACTTTTCTTAGGATCGATCCAGCAAACCTTTTGATTGTTGGACGAGCACTATAACCACTAGGCTATCAAGCCATAGTGTACGAAATTATAGGATTATAATTTATGGGATTCTTGAAAAAGTCTGGCTGGAACAGCATATTTCCACAAGTTTCCTCCCCACTATACCACTGGGTCTCTGAATGTTGTTTCGTTGGAATCCTGATGCGTACGTCAAAGTATAAACCGTACGACAAAGTATAAACTGTACGACAAAGTATAAATACGCAGCAATTAGCAGCTTTCTGTACTATAAACAGTACAAGGAAGACAACTTTGTTAAGCGACTGTAGGAAAACAACTATTTAGGTCGTTAAAAATAGGCGTACAATGTTCATATTTTCCTACCCAGTCAATAATGTGTACAGCCAGGGCCACCTTTAACTCCCCTAGTAGCACAAATATGTATTTTATAAATATTTTATATATTCAAAGTCGTATTTGATAGAACCTCGAATCAAATATATAAATAATATACCTTTAATAATAGTTTGATGTATTCAAATATATATTTCAAATATTACCAAAAAGCAATGCAAAATAACAATTAAATATAAGTTTTGAATATATAAAAGAGATTCATAATATATATTGATAAAATAAGTATAGAATCTATAATATACATATTTTATATGTATATTTTTCCTATTAAATATTTAAAAAAATTATGTGTTGAGGATATTTTAAATATATATATAAAATATTTTTGAACTATATTATATATTTAAAGTATTTATAAATATATTTTGAAACACGTCAGATATTTTTATTGATAAAATAATAATTTGTAGAATATATACAGGGTTATTACAAATGATGTTCCTGATTTTGATTATAAATATTACTGGGTTAATTTGTTTCAAGACTATTTTAATTGGTACCATTGGAAAGAAAAACTCATAAAGTTTCATTTACATTGGTTTGGGTGCATATCAGCTGTTTGTCAAGTCAATTGTTGTAAGTGTTGTGTAAAGGCTGAATTTGAAGGCAGGAAAGCTTTTTGCCAGTTGGAATATTACATTAACCAATCTGTTATTAGTGTGCAACGACACTTAAGAACCAGGTTTAACGATTATCCTCCTAGTAACCACTATATTGGCAAGTGTCACTTGAAATTTAAGAGAAATGGCTGCATTTGAATGTTACCTGTAGTAGGGTTGAACTTAACAATGTGCTGCCTGAGATATGGAACGAGCTCGGTGGTCCGAATAATGACACACCCCTGAACTGGCCTACAAGATCTCCGGACATCACCCCCTGATTTTTTTCTTGTGGGGATACATCATAGATAAGGCGTACACATCACCATTATCAAGCATACTTGAGATCCAGCAACGAATTACCAAAGCTATCGAAACAATAGACCTAGACACACTTTTCAAAGTCTAGCAAGAGCTTGACTACATTATTGACATCTGTCGTACCACAAGGGGTTTCCGTATCGAGCATTTACAGTTATGTGTATCTGTGTTAAAACTTTTTGAGTTTTTCAAAAGTTGTAACTATTTTATTTCTTTCTATAACAAATAAAACTATATTTCATGTATGTATGAAATCATGAACATCATTTGTAATAACCCTGTATAATCTATTATAATTGGCAATTAAATAATTTGCATCTTTTTGTTTTTTATAGTGTCTCAACACATAATTTTTTTAAATATTTAATAGGAAAAATATACATATAAAATATACATGCATTTTTTGTATGACAATTGCAATTGTGAAAGCGTTCAAATTAACTAAATAGTAATACATACTCTGAATGGTGCCACTCTATCATGCACTTAAAGAAAAAATTACGCATATTTATGAGGCAGTATACTGTTTGACAGCTACATGTTGGTCAAACGAAAAAAGTGTTGATGGGTTTTATTTTTTAATTCCAGTATGTGACAATGAATGTGATCATAGAAATCTCGAATGATTGGCTAGAAAAGGATGCTAGTGACTGGCGACCTTTTAAGAAACTAATTACTGTTGTATATGTCGTTCTAAAAATAATTATTTGATTTACTTATGTCATAAATTACATAATATTTGTCATAGTATTTAAATTAATTTTTGTAGATTACAGTATTTGTATTTGTGGGGACTACTCACTATTCACTACAGCACTATTCAACTCAACAACTTGATGCCAAAACAGATTAACAGAATCATATTATACTGTAGTATCAAAAATATTTCAAGTATTGCAACCATTGCAACTGTCGGCTACTCTTTCACCATTTGAAAACTAAGACTAACAACAGTCACAGATAGCTCAGAGGTAAGGTAAGAGGCTCATGAGTCGAAGGACCCAGGTTCGAGACCCATCCGGGCCAAAAAAATGATATCTAGTTTTTTTTTCAAAATTTGTTTTTATAAGCTATTTAATCAATTTACTCAACTGATAATTGTGCTTTTCATACTAAATCTATATTATTTTGTGTTTTTATGTTTAGGCCCCATGGGATGATTGATAGTGATATTAAATACATTTTTTATTTTAATATTATTCACTAAAATATATTATCGGAACATATTTTTTTAATATTTAATATATTCAACAACATATTTTTTTATATATTTAATATATTTTAAATATTATATAAAATTGACATTAATACACACTTGAGATATATAAAATAGATTTTAAATATATTTATTCATATGTATTTAATATATATTTGTGCTACTAGGGTCCAGGCCAGCCACGGCCTGGTAGAATTGGCAACACTGCAAGTGGTGTTGTCTAGCGCATGACGTCCCACAAGATAAGATTTTCTGTTATGTTTGGGTTTTGCTTTGCTTGTTTTTGGTTCATGCATAATTTTTGTTTCTGATTTGCACTCAAATGCTATATTATCTAATAATTTTCTTATCTTAGTAGATCGTTATGGTGAACTTCTTCCTAGTTGTCAACTTGTATTTATTGTTACTATTTATTGTTGTATTTGTATTATTGTTGTATTTATTGTTATCTCGTAGCTTGTTACTGTTCTGAATTGTATTACGTTTGCATCTTGTTGTTTCCTTAAATTTGTATCACAACCTTAATCATCATTGGCGTCAGCCGTTGAAACAATAAATAAATAAATAAACATGGCAGACAGGTGACACCAGCTCATTAATTCACGAATTATTCATTTAAATTTAAATGTATGAACATAAATTTATTAAAAGATTGAAAATAAAATATATATAATTGAAAACCAAAACAATCAAATCAAATCAAATCAAAATTTTCTTTATTCATTATGTACACATAGAGAACAGAATGGCGCCAATAAGTACTATTATAAACTAGTAAGTACAACTATATATAATACAATAATAAATTAAAATTATAATCACTGTAAGAAATTAAATTAACTGTTACAGACAACATATGCTCAAAAAAATTCA